CTTCATGTGCAACAGAAAAATTATGTGATTAAAAACAACAGGTGGGTGGAGGAAGGGCGGCTCACTCGTCGCCTACGTCACGTTTGGATGAGCAACAGAGGCTTTGCACCTTCACGTGTCGCCCATGGCAACGGTACGTACGCCGCCATGACACCGGGGACACTATGTCACTAACTTCAGCAGCATCGGAGAAACACGGGCAGGTTTTGTTGTGTATTTGGTTGTTCTAGATGCTCTGAAAGGGATAAAACGGTTCGTTTCTTCACTGTTCCTCTGGAAATGACTCATCAGGATCAAACAAGGGAATTATCAAAAAAAAGACAGGAATTATGTCTAGAGAACATAAACCACGAAGAGATTTCCAATGGTCCATCAAGACACACTCACGTCACTTTCATCAAGGTATTTGCTATTTAAATAGTTTCATAGTTTATTTAATGAGAGAAGCACATTTACTGAACTAAAATGTAAAAAGAAAACATTTGCAGTGTGAGTGGCAGTAGAAACTGGATCATCCAACGCACATATAAACATGTCACTCGTCGTAGGACCCATGTTTTCTTTATTGTCTGGCTTATCCACAACTATGTCTTCTAGAATTAATCACTTTTTGCGAGCGGATCTTTCTAACGTTCACGAGGATCTTTTCATGGTCGATTCTTTCGAGGTTCGGCTCACAGACTCTTCGACTCGTGCACCATGTTGATCACAGGAGCCAGTGTGGGTTCGTTGAATCGTAAACTAGTGCGGGTTTTCCTGGATAAATTAATGAAATTTTAGTTCAGTAAATGGTCATGAGCTCTGGGTAAAGACCGAAAAGGACGAGATTGCAGATACAAGCGCTCGAAAGGAGTTTCCTCTGCAGGGTGTCTGGGCGCTCCCTTAGAGATACGGTGAGGAGCTCAGTCACACGGGAGGAGCTCGGAGTAGAGCTGCTGCTCCTTCAGATCGAGAGGAGCCAGTTGAGGCTCGGGTGTCTGTTCCAGATGCCTCCTGGGCCCCTCCCTCAGGAGGTGTTCCAGGTATGTCCCACCAGGAGGAGGCCACGGGGAAGACCCAGGACACACTGGAGGGACTATGTCTCTCGGCCCAGTGGAGCAAATGAAGCACCTTGAAGCATCAGCTCAAGAGTCGAGCAAATGGAGGGAACACTTCAGAGTTTCATGGGGCTTCATCTCCACATCACTACTTAAAATCAATTACAGACTCCCTGCTTGTTGTAAATGAATATGAGAAGGCCAATGAATTCAATGTTTGAATGCCCACCAGGTTACTTTGAGCTGAATCTTGAACACAACCACAGGCTTCTGGTTGATCCCAGGGTGGTCACCGCTATTTTTAAAAGACTTTTTAAAAGAAAAAGAAAGCAGTTTCCTGCTAAAGACTTTTGCTGATGAACTGAGCCAAGATTGGTGTCCCTTATTCCAAATTTCAGAAGATACAGGGGATATACCTTTTAGAGAAATAGCCTAGTCGGAAAACATTGTCAATTAATTAGCTGCGCAAGACAACCAGGCAAGTTTGAGGTTGTTACGGACAATTGAACATGTGAACATGCACGTTGAGCAAATTTTGGAATGAATGGGCTATAGAGTTTGCATTTTTATCAAGGCTCCTTAGTTTGTTTGCTATATGATTGTTCTAAAATCTAAAATCAATCGGTGGATGGTGGGCGAGTGCGGTTTTGAAAATTGGTCAAAACCTTGGGTGCAAATGGACAGCGGGCGGATGATGAGTTTTGTGTCGTGGTTGCGGATGAAAAAATAGCCCATCCACGCATCTTTGTTACCTTTGCTCTGGAAAAAGTCTATTATCACCCCTGTACCAAAGAAAACCTGTCCTAAAGAGAACAATGACTTCAGACTGTGGCCTGGACACCAGTGACTATGAAATCATTTGAGCGTGTCATGGTGGGGTTTCTGAGGAGGTACTGGGTCGTGTAGATCCCTATCAGTTTGCTTACTGCAGCAACAGAAGTACTGATGACGCTCTTGTAACTACTGCCCACTTAATACTGAAACACTTAGTCTACGTTCAGACTGCAGGGCTTAACACTCAATTCCATTTTTTTTGTGAAATCTGATGTTTTTGCGAGGTCGTTCACATTTCCAATTAAATGCGACTTGTATGTGTCTCCAGTGTGAACAGTAAACGGCCCGAAAGTGTCCCACATGTGACTGAAGACACAGCGACGTCAACCGCAGCGAGCGTGCTCTGTGTTTACGGAAGTTGTCCAAACATGGACGCAGCATCGAGCACCTGGAGATTTTAAAGTTCCTCTCGTACCGGAGCCAGAACATGAACAACTTACTTGTTTTAAGGAGGAGATTGAGAAGGAGAAGGACGAGGTTTTTGGCCGTGGCGTTTTGTGGGACAGAACGTTGAAAGGAACGTGTGGATGTGGAGACGGAGCCAAGAGTGGTGAGTGGTGATGTGCTTCACTTCAGTCACATGGAGTTCATTAACAATTTTCTCCTACTTCAGTGCAGAATAGTGACGTTTGTGTCTTGTTGATAATGCGTAGGTGGAATGAATGCACTTTGGCCATTCAGACTGAAGTCACATGTCAAAAGATCAGATATGTATCGATTTCAGGAGCACATATCCAAGTGTCCTGGGTCACATTTGAAAAAATCGGATCTGTGTCGTTCAGACTGTCATTAAAAGATCAGATACAGGAACATAGAATAGGAGTGTTCACACTTTTTCATCATGTGAGCTACTTACAAAATGACCAAGTCATAATGATCGACCTAATACAAAGTCAAGCAAACTGCACTGAAACAGTCTGTGCCCCTTTTTTGGACCCTCACCCACAGTTTGAGAACCCCTTCTTTAAGATAACTTCCTCTGGCACTTTACACAAAACTGTGGAAAAAGTGAAGGAAGATTTTTAAACCTGTTTTTTAAAGTTCCAAACTGGAGTTTCATTCTTTTCTGGTTTTGCAGTGATATTTACCAGCCTCTGCACATTTACCAAACCAAACGCACATCGTGACAAACACAGATGCATTTGTCACTTTTGTTAGATAAACTTCAGCCAAATGTGGCAGTAGGTCTGTTCTGTAGATCCGCTCTATGCTGTAGACCTGCTTTGTGCCAACACTGGAACACAAATTTAGACTGGTTTTTGCTTCACGTTTGGTCTTGCTCTTCTAATCAGCGCGCACTGTGGAGGGGCTTGTGTTCGCTGTACGCAGGAAGGTGAGAGCGTGAAAAGGCGAGGGGCGGCGTGCTGACGTGGGGCAGAATGGACAGGTAGGATGTTTAGGAAGTTGAACCTGCCCTGTGATGCACGCTGGTACACGAGGACACACGCTGTTGCAGACGAGCCGTGCATAGGGAGCGTGTGTTTGTGATGCGCCGTAGAGTCTCCGCGGGTTTCAAATGAGCGCACAGGCTGCACTGAGACGCCCCACACGCTCCTGCACCCGCTACAAGTTTATTACCAACAGCAGCGGCCGTAATGAAATATGATCACAGATGTTGAGTGTCAGACCTCGAGTGAGAGAAGACCGAGTCTAAATGCGAGTCCGAGACAAGACACGGCGATCTACCCACACGACCTTGGCGATCGACTGGTAGATCACGATCGACGTATTGCGCACCACTGACATAAAAACTAAAAAATCAGATTTGGGTCACTTCAGGCTGCAGTCTGAACGTAGCCTTAGAGGATCCTTCAACATCACCAGAATATTGTTCATGGATTTTAGCTCAGCATTTAATACAATATTACCGAGCGCCCTGTTGAAGTTGTTAGAGCTGGTGTTAAGAGTTATATTATTAAGTGGTATTGGGCATTCCTCACAGGGAGACAGCAACAAGTTAAGGTTAATTCAATGCTGTCAGATATTCATGTTGTCAGCACTGGGGCACCACAGGGCTGTGTTAGCTCGCCTCTTCTTTTCACTTTGTACCAATGTGTGCAGGAGTAAACAGGTAAACAACTGTATACTTACATTTTCTGATGACATGGCTATTCTTAGTTTACTCAATAAAAGTACAGATGCCATCAGCTACAAGACAGAAATTGATGAAGTTGTGCATTGGTGTGAGGAGCACAACCTTGTCTTAAATGTGGAAATGACAAAAGAGATGAGTTTTGATCCCAAATCTGTCGGGGACCACAGCCCCGTTAACATCAGGGGGAGGGACATAGAGCAGGTGACACGTTATAAGTACTCAGGTGTGTTATTTGATTCTCAGCTCCAATGGAGCCAGCAGGTACAGTCTGTCTGCTCAAGAATCACCAGCGCCTCTATTTTTAAGACGACTTAGGTCACATAGAGTGGATACAAATGTAATGCTGATGTTTTACAAAGCATGCATGGAATTAATTTTACGTTATGGCATGTCAGAATGGTTTGGTAACCTGTCAGTCAAACTTAAATCACAGATTTTTACCTTGACTAAAAGAGCAGGTAAAATAATGGGTGTGGCCCCGAGCTCACTTCAGCACATTTTTGAGGAGACTGTGAGGAAGCTCGGCAGGAAGGAGCAGTGACCCAACCCATGTTCTTCACAGTCAGTTTGAGTTGATGCCGTCAGGCAGAAGGTTCAGGGTCCCAAACTGTAAACCGAACAGATTCAAACATTCCTTTGTGCCATCAGCCGTTAATCTGCTAAACTCAAGATAGTGCAGTTAAAAAATAAATGTAAAAGTCTTAGGGAATGTGCAATTATTAATAGAATCCAAGAATGCAAAGCGTTTGCCTGTAAAGAATGATTTAAAGGTCCTGTTGGTCATACTTGGTCTTGTATTTAGTTTGTTCTATTGTGGTGTTTATGTGGTGCTTTGTGTTGTGTTTTTTGATAAACCACGTGATCCCCTGTCTCAAAACAAATTTCTCCCACGGGAGACAATAAAGGATTATCTTATCTTAAGTGTCCAAGAACACAACATGAATGCGATGAATTATAAATGTTAACATGATCAATTTTAAATATCAAACAGTTGTTGACATTTACAAAACTCTGCACTGCCCAGCCCCATCCCCACCACACACACTTCACAAAGTCATAAAGTTACACAGAATCCTTCTTTTATGTCACTGTGTTTTCACTTTCACCACAGACGCTGAACTCTTATCCCACCACAGCCCAAACCCAGGGAACAGAGGCTCAGTGAAAGAGGAAGTGAAAGTGTAGAGATGGAACAGTTCTCCATCAGGGTGGACGTCATAGAAGGACAAAGATAAAACCTCAGTGTCCAGGAACACACCCACTCTGCCAACGGACACATCATCTACTACTGAAGGTCCTCGTGGAGAGTATCTTGCTGTGCTGTTGTGGACGACAGTGTATCGTCCATTCATGACTCGAAGACACCATGAATGATCATTTTCTCCAAATTTACTCTCCTCTCTTACTCCTCTCCGTCTGATTCTTCTGTAGCTCACTGCTATATCGACCCCCCCTCTCCACTCCACCTCCCAGTAACAGCGCCCCCTCAGGCCAGTGGAGCTCAGGACCTGAGTCTGGTCTGTGAATCTGTCCTCATGATCTGGATACAGCTGCTCCTCTCTCATCCAGGTGACTTCCTGTTTCTCCTCAGACAGTTTGAGAATTGTGTGAATTGTGTTTGGGTCCAGAGAGAACTCACAGGAGTCTGAAACACAAACAGCTGAGTTAAAACTACAAATACAACAGGTCAAATTTAAAGGAACTAGAGATGGTTCTACTTTGTCTTTGACCTATAATATGTTGTAAATTTATAATTTATAACTAAATAAAAATAGAAAATAATATTTTCTCTGGACTTCCCTTGAGTTTTCTGTTTCTGCTTTGGACTGAGGACTCACATTTTCTGAGACCTGGGACCATCCAACACTCTCCAGCAGGATCCAACCTGAAACACACAAGTCCAGTTTAGACCAGACCAGAGACCAGGATCTGGACCCACCATGGACCAGAGACCCACTGAACCAGGACCCACACCTGACAGACAGCAGGGGGCAGTGTGGTCTCACCTGACAGACAGCAGGGGGCAGTGTGGTCTCACCTGACAGACAGCAGGGGGCGCTGGTCCCGTAGAGCGGTCAGGAGCTCTGCTGAGGGTCCTGGATGGTTGTAGCTCAGGTCCAACTCTCTGAAGTGGGAGGGGGCGGAGCTCAGAGCTGAGGCCAGAGCAGCCCCGCCCCTCTCTGAGACCAGACATCCAGACAGCCTAAAGACACAGCATTACACTCATGTGGACACAAGGGGGCAGAGTGCATCATGGGAGTGTCTCACCTGAGCATCTCCAGTCTGCAGGGGGCGCTCTTCAGTCCAGAACACAGCAGCTCCACTCCTGAGTCCTGGAGGTCGTTGTGACTGAGATCCAGATGTGTGAGACTGGAGGAGCTGAGGACTGAGGCCAGAGGACCACAGCTGTGAGGGGACAGGCCACAGCCACAAAGACTGAGGACAGAGAGGGACATTAGAGACTAGAACCTCCACACAAGAGTTTAAATACAGTCTGGACTCACAGGGCTTTGGTGGAGGCTCTGACCACCGGCAGCAGACCCAGGAGAGCTGTCTCTGAGCCCTGGTATTTCCTCAGGTCAAACTCCTCCAGGTCTGAGTCTGAGGACAGTAAGACGAAGGACAGAGCAGACCACAGAGCAGGAGACATGTGTCTATCAGAGAAACGTCCTCCTCTCATGTACCACTGCATCTGCTTCATCAGACTGTGGTCGTTGAGTTCGTTCAGACAGTGGAGCAGGTTCATTCTTCTCTCTGCAGACAGACCCTCTTCATCCAGCTTCTGTTTAATGTACTTTACTGTCCTCTGACTGGTCCGTTCACTTCCTGTGTGAGTCAGCAGACCCCACAGCAGCCTCTGATTGGTCGGCAGAGACAGCCCCAGGAGGAAGCGCAGGAACAGGTCCAGGTGTCCGTTTGGACTCTGTAAGGCCTGGTCCACAGCAGAGCAGTAGAAGGCTTTAGGGTCTGGACTCTTAGAGGAGTGTGGTGTCTCCAGCAGGTTCTCTCCAGAGCTGAAGAAGGTCTGATGGACATGAAGAGCAGCCAGAAACTCTTGTACACTCAGATGGATGAAGCAGTAGACTTTGTCCTGGTACAGGGCTGGCTCCTCTCTAAAGACCTGTGTGAACACTCCGGAGTACACTGAGGCCGCTGCAGCGTCCAGCCCACACTCGCTCAGGTCACTCTCGTAGAAGATCAGGTTTCCTTTCTGCAGCTGCTCAAAGGCCAGTTTTCCCAGAGACTTCACCATCTCCCTGGTCTCTGGAGTCCAGCGAAGGTTTTCCCCTGATCCCTGGTGATACTTGATGTTCTGGACTTTGGCCTGCACCACCAGGAAGTGGACGTACACCTGTGTGAGAGTCCAGGGCAGCTCTGGTTCCTCTGTTTGTTCCAGAAGCTTCTGTAGAACTGTGGAGAGGATCCAGCAGAAGATCGGCATGTGGCTCATGATGTGGAGGCTGCGGACGCTCTTGATGTGGGAGATGACGGCTGTGGCCTGGTCTCTGAACCTCTTCCTGAAGTACTGCTCCTTCTGCAGGTCGGTGAACCCTCGCACCTCTGTCACCATGGAGACGCACTCAGCAGGGATCTGATTGGCCGCGGCGGGGCGCGTGGTTATCCAGAGGCGAGCGGAGGGAAGCAGGCTCCCCCTGATGAGGTTCACCAGCAGCACGTGCACTGAGGCGGACTCTGTGGGGTCGGTCAGGACCCGGGTTCGGCCAAAGTCCAGAGGAAGTCTGCACTCGTCCAGACTGTCAAAGATGAAGAGCACATGGAGCTGTTGGAAGCTGCAGAGATCTTTGGATGGACTGAAGAAGTGGTGCAGCAGCTCCACCAGGCTGAACTGTGTGTCTCTGAGCACATTGAGCTCTCTGAAAGTGAACGGGAACAGCAGCTGGAGGTCCTGGTGGGCCCGGCCTTCAGCCCAGTCCAGACTGAACTTCTGAGTCAGCACTGTTTTCCCCACACCGACCACGCCCTTCGTCAGCACTAATCTGATTGGCTGTGGTGAATGTGGGCGGGGTTTAAAGAGCTCTTCACATGTGATGGTCTCTGGAGCGGCCGGTCTCCTGGACGCCGTCTCCATGTGTCTGACCTCATGTTCCTGGTTGACCTCTGAGGCTCCGCCCTCTGTGATGTAGAGCTCTGTGTAGATCTGGGTCAGGGGGGCGGAGTCTCCTGCTTTAGCCACGCCCTCAAACACACGACTGAATCTCTGCTGCAGATGCCTCTTCAGTTTCTCACAGTGAACTCCAACTTCAGTCCCTGAGGAAGACAACAGAGACCCTCAGTAGTTGGGAGGGAATTTGTGAAATACCGCAAGGACTGCCCACTTCTGGAAAAGATTTAAATTTTTGTCAGGGTGTTAAGTTTGGGCCTCAGGTTTTTAAAAATACATGGATCCAAGTTGAGGTGCGTCCCCTAGTGGCCGGTGTACATAAAATCCAAAATGGCCCCCGGCAAAAAGAGAAAAGGTTATAGTCCACTTTCCTTTTGTCTTAAATTCTTATGATGACAATTTTTCTACTTGACTTGATAAAAGGAATGTGATTTCAGTATTATCTTCCCATTTTAAGGCCATTTTCATTTCAGATTTATTGTAATGGTCACTTTTTGCCTGAAAAACGGTCCATATCTCTGGAATGAAATAACAAACTGTATAACAATGATTCAGGCCTCTAAACCCACAAGTCACCTCAATTAGACTGCATGAAGCTGGAAATGATTTGCTGTTGCAAAAATTGTTTATGAATGCACTTTAAAAAAAGAAAAGAAAATACAATATTAAAAAATATATTATCAGTTGTTATTGAACCTCATCAGGAGCACATAAGCTACTATTGTAGCCACAGCTGCCCTGGGGCAGACTGACAGAAGCACAGCTGCCAATCTGCACCACCACCACCATCTCACACACACACACACACACACACACACACACACACACACACACACACACACACCACTGTCATACTAGGCAATGTGAGTGAAGTGTCTTGCCTAAGGACACAACATCAACAGATTTTTAACACCGGCGCCCTCCTGTGGCTCCTGATTTTCCCAATGTCTCCCATCCAAGTCCTGACCAGGTCCGGCCCTGCTGAGCTTCTGAGATCAAGATCAGGCTTTGACAAACCCATATGACCACAAAGTTAAATATTTCATCTACAGGAACAGTGACCATCTTTAAAAATGATGACCATCTTGAATTTGTGACAAGGATCTTTTTCTATGATCATATCCTGTAGAGAGTATTTATATCAAATGTTGGATCACTTTTGAATAATTTATATAACCGCACACACACACTCAAAGCAACATCACGTGACTCTGAGGAAGACGCTAGTGAACAGTCGAAACTGTCAGGCATGAAATAACACTCCAGGTCTGAAAAAAAGAACCTAATAACATATAATTTATATAACCATTTGAATTGAATTTTTGAGTGGCCAACACCTTTTTCCAAGGCTCATAGAGAGTATCTGTGCCAAATTTCACGCTTTTATACCAAAGTGAACGATTTTTTTCACTAATGTGCTGCACTTTTAGCTCAATTTTGCATTTTAAAAGTGCCTTTGGACTTTAAACAACCAGATTTTATTTAGCAGGTAGCTGGTTACCCTCCACAAAACATTTCTTAATATTTGAATTTTTTTAAAGTCTATGGGAAAAATTAATTGAAAATGTTCTTCCATAATCGGAGTAAACGTCCAGGTGGATGGGAGAGTTGAGCTCAATGGGAATGAAAGTGGGTGAAGAATTTCACTATAGTTTGGTCTCAGCTGGAGGATTTACCTGTTGTATGTGGGTTTGGGTTGGTCGTACAGTTCTGCAGACGCTGGGCCAGATGCTCCTGGTCCATCTTCTTCAGGAAGTCCAGGGTGATGTTCAGAACCTCTGTGCTCAGCTCCTCACCCTCAGAGCATTCTGGGTAATCTGAGGCCAGGAGCCTGTGGAGCCTCTGCAGCTGCTGTTGGACATAAACCAGGACAGAAGACGTCACTGGACTTTCAACTAGAGCCCGACCGATATATCGGGCACCTGGAGACATATTGGCTATCGGCCGATATGCTTGCTGATATGGGCCGATATTTCACAAAGGCATGTTATACCTCGTTATAAAGCTTAGACTCTCTACATTATGTTCATTTAATGCAATTTACAGACAGATAAATGTGCAAATATGTGGCTCCACATCAGTATTTATCTGCGGTGTAATTTGTCGGTGTGTGTCCGTACTGTCCCTGAACACACCACCAGAGTCACGTCACTTCACTCACATGTGTTTGTTTACACCCGCAGCCGTGCGCAACACTGAGATTATTTTGTTTTTACGGACAATCAGTTTGAGTCTGGATTAAAAGGACATTTATTAGTGCAGACTTGTGATGTGGGAGGAGCCTGTGTGAGCGCTGAGTGTTGGAAATATGTCGACTTTGAAGCTAGTTTTGGTCATTTGTTATTGATTATCTGCTGTATCTCTCCCACATAAACAGGCTGTTTTCTATTGGCCTATTGTAAATTGACTTTATTGGCCATATATTTGTTATTGGACCTGCATTGACATGTAAATGAGCTGTGAATAGACGTGTGAATGATCCACATTTATGCATATAATTAATTACCGTGGTGCGCATGTTTTTACGGCTAAAGGCTAATAGTGCTAGTTTCTTTACTAGCTAGGAGTTATGGGTCGGATGCGATCGAAGCGGCTCTCAGATCCGGCTCTTTGAAGTGAACAACGGGAGCATGTTTCTTATTGGGAGCCATGTTTTCTCTTTTTCTCTTCAAGCCGCTTGTAGACCCGTAGTTTGACAGCAGCAGCGGCTGAAAACGAAACTTTCAGAAATCTGCGTGTGCATAGGATAAAAAAAAAGTGCATATTTGGCTGCAGTTCAGCATAAAATGAATAAACCAGGACTAATCTTGGGCTCAAGTGAGGGAGAGACCGAGTCCCGACACTCAGTCCTGGTTCACTTCTGGTTTAGTTCTGCTTGCAACAAAACAATCTCAAGAGTCGCTTGAGAGCCGAAAGAGCCAACTGCTTTAGTGAGCCGAGCCAAAAGAGCCGGTTCTCAAAAAAAACTGTAATACCCATCACTAGTAGTTAGAATGTGATGCAAAAATGCCATTAGGCCAATCTACTGTATGTAAATATGACGTAAAGAGTCAGAATAACAATAAATGTCACCTAAATAAACCCAATTTAGAATCCACTAGAGCCAAACCTAAGTTTTTTAAACTTTCAAGATTTACAGTGAATTTTTACATCACTAAATATATCGGCGATTATATCGGCTATCGGCAGCGCCAACTCCCATTATATCGGTTTCATATTGGCTACAACAAAATCCATATCGGTCGGGCTCTACTTTCAACAGTCGAGTTTTTCTCCTCCTAAACACTTCATTAGTTCTGTTCACATCAATCATAGTTTGTCCTTCTACACTCAGTGGTTCAGACCTGGTTCAGACCTGGTTCAGACCTAGTTCAGACCTAGTTCAGACCTGTCTTAGTCCTCTCTTAGTCCTCTCTTAGTCCTGTCTAAGACCCGTCTTAGACCCGTCGTAGACCCGTCGTAGACCCGTCGTAGACCCGTCGTAGACCTGTCTTAGTCCTGGTTCAGTCGTGTCTTAGTCGTGTTGTTGTGTCTGTGTGAGTTTGTAGTTTGTTGTGATGAAAACAGAACAGAGAGACTCACCTGGACGTGCAGAGTCGTGGAGCAGGTTTGACTTTGATCTGAGTCTCCCTCCTGCTTCAGCCTCTTCAGGAGCAGAGTCGTGTCGAGTCCTGAAACACGATTCAACATTTCTGTAAATCATCTGCTCAAAGGCTCAGATCAAATCATAAAACAAGAACAACACAGAGCAAAGTCCATTTATTCAGGACAGATAAACTTATATTATCTCAGTCATCAGGGAAAAAAATAAAATAAAAAAAGGGAACTTAATGAATTTACTTTAGAAAGTTTTCTCGGTGACTCGGTCCAACCTAAAGACAGAAAAATACTTTATTGTTCCGAAAGGAAAGTCAGTGATGGTGCAGTACACGGCAAATGATCCAATAAACACTCGATATAAACTGCAGTCCAGTGAGGTTCATTTGGTCTTCGTTTCTGGTCAAATAGTTTTCTAATATTTTCAAAAGCTAAACCAGGACTAAACCAGGACTGAACCAGGACTGAACCAGGACTAAAACAGGACTAAAACAGGACTGAACCAGGACTGAACCAGGACTAAACCATGTCTAAACCAGGACTAAACTAGGACTACAAGAAAAAACTAAATTATGTTCCATAGAATTATTGTTACTTTTTGTCTGTGTGAATGTTCAGTTGGTTTTATAATAATAATAATAATAATAATAATGATTATTATTATTATTAATAATAATAATATTAATATTATTAATAATAATAATAGTATTAATATTAATATTAATATTGATATAAATATTAATATCAATATTAATAATCTAAAAGGGTTCTAAGTTATTACATTGACGATTATAATGACATGTATATTTCAGTATGTCTTGTTTGGGGGGCTGATTGATCTTTTTGACATGTCTGACACAATAAACAGAGTTAAAAATAAAATAAAAAATAAAACACGGGGATAAAAGTCACATGCTAACAGCTCCATACAAACAAATGGAAGCGGCTAGGCTAGGCTAACACATTGTAGTGAATGGGAATGCTAAGCTAAGCGCTAGCGAGACTCACCGGTCCAGTAGTTGATCGGTTTGCAAGGTTCTGTTTCGGGTTGGTCGGCGCCGGTAGTTGGCTCCTACAGTTCGACATGAGTTAGGGTTGTTTGGAGAAATGACATGACGGAATAACGATAAAAAGAGTAAACGTAATTTCAGCAGAAAGTTTCCAAAGACTCTCACTACTGGGTTATACGACGCGCTGATTGGCCCGCGCTTAGTCACGTGACTGGTACACGTTGTTGTTATTATTAATATTAGAAAAACTATTAGGACCAAAACAAGACTGAACCAGGACTAAAACAAGATTGAACCAGGACTAAAACAAGACTGAACCAGGACTAAACCAGGATTAAAACAGGACTAAACCAGAACTAAACCAGGACTAAACCAGGATTAAACCAGGACTAAACCAGGACTAAAACAGGACTAAACCAGGACTACACCAGGGCTAAAACAGGACTAAAACAGGACTGAACCAGGACAGAACCAGGACTAAACCAGGTCTAAACCAGGACTAAACTAGGACTACAAAAACAAAAAACAAAAATTAGTAGTTGGCTCCTACAGTTCGACATGAGTTAGGGTTGTTTGGAGAAATGACATGACGGAATAACGATAAAAAGAGTAAACGTAACATCGGCAGAAACTATCCAAAGCGCGTAGACTCTCACTACCGGGTTATACGACGCGCTGATTGGCCCGCGCTTAGTCACGTGACTGGTACACGTTGTTGTTATTATTAATATTAGAAAAACTATCAGGACCAAAACAAGACTGAACCAGGACTAAAACAAGACTGAACCAGGACTAAACCAGGATTAAACCAGGTCTAAGCCAGGACTGAACCAGGACTAAAACAGGACTAAACCAAGACTAAAACAGGACTGAACCAGGGCTAAAACAGGACTAAACCAGAACTTAAACAGGACTAAACCAGGACTAAAACAGAACTTAAACAGGACTAAACCAGGACTAAAACAGGACTAAAACAGGACTAAACCAGGACTGAACCAGGACTAAAACAGGACTAAACCAGGACTAAACCAGAACTAAACCAGGACTAAACCAGGACTAAACCAGAACTAAACCAGGACTAAACCAGGACTAAAACAGAACTAAAACAGGACTAAACCAGGACTGAACCAGGACTAAAACATAACTAAACTAGGACTAAACCAGGACTAAAACAGGACTGAACCAGGACTGAACCAGTTCTAAACCAGGACTAAACCAGGACTAAAACATGACTGAATCAGGACTAAAACAGCACTAAACCAGGACTAAACCAGGTCTAAACCAGGACTAAACCAGGTCTAAACCAGGTCCTGCTTCCCTCCTCTCTCTGAAGTTGGAGACATTTGAGTCTTTATCAGTGTTAATTAAATTCAGATCACAGACAATAAAATAAAACAGCTGCTGTCCAATGAGACTGACATAATGTGAGTTCACAATGAAGCTTGGACTTTTGTGAAAGGTAAAATAAAGTTTAGTTTATGATTTTTAAATAATTACTGTCTTGTGATATATAGCCTGGATAATCAGGAAGACATCACAAGTTGTTTGAAAAGAAAAGGAAGATTTAAATGTCTTTGAATGTGTCGAATATCCAATTTATAACAGAAGTCCATGAGAAACACGAGACTCCACCAGGCCACAGCACCAAGGCTGAAGAGACTCTGTCTGGCCCCATCTGATCATTTATCCGACGTGGAGGATTCCAGCGATGACTCCGACCTGAACGAAGCTGAAGTTTCAAGCATACATGGAACTCAAGCCACATAAGGAGGATTTTTTTCATGTTCTTTTGTGGTGGAAAGAACATGAAAAGGATTTCCCGAACCTGGCAATGATTGCACAGGGGCAAACTCTTAATCCCTGCATCCAGCGCTGCCAGTGAGAGAGACTTTTTCTCTTCTGGATTTGTGATCCAAGAACGAAGAACGCAGCTGAAACCTGGAACTGTGGACGATAAACTGTTCCTGCACAGTAACCTTGTTTAGAAATTAAGGCAGGAAGTTGATCACATCACATCTTATAGTTTATTCTACAAATGAGCTGGTCTTTTGTATTCTTTCTGGTTTATTAAATATATAATTTTTTCTCTTGCACATTTGTCAGATTATGTCAAGAAAGTGGGACACACAGGAATATGAGAATCCCAGTTTCTCCACACACATGTAAACAACAGATCCTGAATAACCGGGATATGGATAATAACCGGGACACTGATGTGAATGTGAACAAACTCACTGACTCAAATTCTCTTGAATCTGAAAAACTCCAATAACCAGGCCCCTCCCTCTGTACCCAGACCCCTCCCTCTGTACCCAGACCCGTCTGGTCAGGTACAGTTTTGAGTAAAATGTTTCTTGCCCAGTTGCAGATATATTAGTGTTGTAGAAGCTGCATAAGTTTTTCGATGGTCTGAAAAAAGCCAAAGTGAAAGGTGAGAGTGACTGAGTGAAAAACGGTCGGCTGATGCTGATGAGCGTGTGACTGTGATGTTATTTGAAAGGGATGAGTTTAGCAGTAAAAATAAATCAGCTCACCTGTTGTAGCTCTGCTCAGATTGTGTTAAAACAAAGATCAGATTAAAGTCGGACCTGAATAACACAGTTCCAGGCAAAACATGCCTCCAGTTAGCTTCACCAACCCCCTGCCCATGGAAAGATGAATGCAATATATTTTTTTTTATTTATTTTTGTTTTTTATTTTCCCATAGTCAAGTGTCCAAAAACACAAGAAAAATGTGATGAATTACATGATAAACTTGAAATCTCAAACAGTTGTCGACATTTACAAAACTCTGCACTGCTCAGCCCCATCCCCACCACACACACTTCACAAAGTCATAAAGTTACACAGAGTCCTTCTTTTATGTCACTGTGTTTTCACTTTCACCACAGACACTGAACTGTAATCGTCCCACAGGCCAAACCCAGGGAACAGAGGCTCAGTGAAGGAGGAGGTGAAGGTGTAGAGATGGATCAGTTTTCCATCATAGAGGACATCATAGAAGGACAAAGATCCAGCCTCAGTGTCCAGGAACACACCCACTCTGCCAGAGGACACATCATCTACTGATGGACGTCTTCCTGGTATGTAGATGTCTTTTTCTATGTTGTTGTGGTGGACGCTGTATTGTCCATAATAAATCTGTAGACTCCAGGACTGATCATTTTCTCCAAATTTACCCTCCCTTCCTGTTCCTCTCCGTCTGATTCTTCTGTAACTCACTGCGATATCAACCCCCACGATCCACTCCACCTCCCAGTAACAGCGCCCCCTCAGGCCAGTGGAGCTCAGGACCTGAGTCTGGCTTGTGAATCTGTCCTCATGATCTGGATACAGCTGCTCCTCCCATTCCCAGGTGACTCCCTGTTTGTCCTCAGACCATTTGAGTTTTCTGTGAATTGTGTTTGGGTCCAGAGAGAACTCACAGGAGTCTGAAACACAAACAGCTGAGTTAAAACTACAAATACAACAGGTCAAATTTAAAGGAACTAGAGATGGTTCTACTTTGTCTTTGATCTATAATATGTTGTGAATTTATAATTTATAACAAAATAAAAATAGAAAATAATATTTTCTCTCGACGTCCTTTGAGTTTTTTGTTTCTGCTTTGGACTGAGGACTCACATTTTCTGAGACCTGGGACCATCCAACACTCTCCAGCAGGATCCAAACTGAAACACACAAGTCCAGTTTAGACCAGACCAGAGACCAGGATCTGGACCCACCATGGACCAGAGACCCACTGAACCAGGACCCACACCTGACAGACAGCAGGGGGCAGTGTGGTCTGACAGTCCCGTAGAGCGGTCAGGAGCTCTGCTGAGGGTCCTGGATGGTTGTAGCTCAGGTCCAACTCTCTGAGGTGGGAGGGGGCGGAGCTCAGAGCTGAGGCCAGAGCAGCCCCGCCCCTCTCTGAGACCAGACATCCAGACAGCCTAAAGACACAGCATTACACTCATGTGGACACAAGGGGGCAGAGTGCATCATGGGAGCGTCTCACCTGAGCGTCTCCAGTCTGCAGGGGGCGCTCTTCAGTCCAGAACACAGCAGCTCCACTCCTGAGTCCTGGAGGTCGTTGTGACTGAGATCCAGATGTGTGAGACTGGAGGAGCTGAGGACTGAGGCCAGAGGACCACAGCTGTGAGGGGACAGACCACAGCCACAAAGACTGAGGACAGAGAGGGACATTAGAGACTAGAACCTCCACACAAGAGTTTAAATACAGTCTGGACTCACAGGGCTTTGGTGGAGGCTCTGACCACCGGCAGCAGACACAGGAGAGCTCTCTCTGAGCGCTGGTATTTCCTCAGGTCAAACTCCTGCAGGTCTGAGTCTGAGGACAGTAAGATGAAGGACAGAGCAGACCACAGAGCAGGAGAACTTAAAGAGGAGAGTTCTCCTTCTCTCATGTTCTTCTGTATCTCCTCAAGCAGACTATGGTCGTTGAGTTCGTTCAGACAGTGGAGCAGGTTCATTCTTCTCTCTGCAGACAGACCCTCTTCATTCATCTTCTGTTTGATGTACTTTACTGTCTCCTGATTGGTCCGTTCACTTCCTGTGTGAGTCAGCAGACCCTGCAGCAGCCTCTGATTGGTCGGCAGAGACAGCCCCAGGAGGAAGCGCAGGAACAGGTCCAGGTGTCCGTTTGGACTCTGTAAGGCCTGGTCCACAGCAGAGCGGTAGAAGTCTTCAAGGTCTGGACACTTAGAGGAGTGTGGTGTCTCCAGCAGGTTCTCTCCAGAGCTGAAGAAGGTCTGATGAACATGAAGAGCAGCCAGAAACTCCTGCACACTCAGATGGATGAAGCAGTAGACCTTGTCCTGGTACAGGCCTGGCTCCTCTCTAAAGACCTGTGTGAACACTCCGGAGTACACTGAGGCCGCTGCAGCGTCCAGCCCACACTCGCTCAGGTCACTCTCGTAGAAGATCAGGTTTCCTTTCTGCAGCTGCTCAAAGGCCAGTTTTCCCAGAGACTTCACCATCTCCCTGGTCTCTGGAGTCCAGTGAAGGTCCTCCCCTGATCCCTGGTGATACTTGATGTTCTGGACTTTGGCCTGCACCACCAGGAAGTGGACGTACATCTGTGTGAGAGTCCGGGGCAGCTCTGGTTCCTCTGTTTGTTCCAGAAGCTTCTGTAGAACTGTGGAGAGGATCCAGCAGAAGATCGGCATGTGGCTCATGATGTGGAGGCTGCGGACGCTCTTGATGTGGGAGATGACGACTGTGGCCTGGTCTCTGAACCTCTTCCTGAAGTACTGCTCCTTCTGCGAGTCGGTGAACCCTCGCACCTCTGTCACCATGGAGACACACTCAGCAGGGATCTGATTGGCCGCGGCAGGGCGCGTGGTTATCCAGAGGCGAGCGGAGGGAAGCAGGCTCCCCCTGATGAGGTTCACCAGCAGCACGTGCACTGAGGTGGACTCTGTGGGGTCGGTCAGGACCCGGGTTTGGCCGAAGTCCAGAGGAAGTCTGCACTCGTCCAGACCGTCAAAGATGAAGAGCACCTGGAGCTGTTGGAAGCTGCAGAGATCTTTGGATGGACTGAAGAAGTGGTGCAGCAGCTCCACCAGGCTGAACTGTGTGTCTCTGAGCACATTGAGCTCTCTGAAAGTGAACGGGAACAGCAGCTGGAGGTCCTGGTGGGCCCGGCCTTCAGCCCAGTCCAGGCTGAACTTCTGAGTCAGCACTGTTTTCCCCACGCCGGCCACGCCCTTCGTCAGCACTAATCTGATTGGCTGCTCTGTTTTCTCTGTTCTCATTGCTGTATGTGCCTCTTTCATTGTTATTTTGTCTGGTTTACTTTTACCAAATAGTTTATTCATTATTGCCTTGATTGGCCTCTTTCTTTTTGACAGCTCTGCCCTGGATTGGCTGTGGTGAATGTGGGCGGGGTTTAAAGAGCTCTTCACATGTGATGGTCTCTGGAAGCGACCGGTCTCCTGGACGCCGTCTCCATGTGTCTGACCTCATGTTCCTGGTTGACCTCTGAGGCTCCGCCCTCTGTGATGTAGAGCTCTGTGTAGATCTGGGTCAGGGGGGCGGAGTCTCCTGCTTTAGCCACGCCCTCAAACACACGACTGAATCTCTGCTGCAGATGCCTCTTCAGTTTCTCACAGTGAACTCCAACTTCAGTCCCTGAGGAAGACAACAGAGGCCCTCAGTGAACTCACAATCTCCAAATGACACAGAACTATGAGAACACAGCAGGTTTACCCCACAGTCCTCTGCTCAGCCACTTTTCTCTCCAATACAAATGTGTCAAATACAGTTTATCTTTAACTCATTTGACGTTGTATTTAGATTTCTTGCCATTTTGGATCAAATATTGAAAAATACAACTGTTTACTGAAGTTCTGTAAAGTGGGAGGTGGTGTTACGGATCTGTTGGACGTGTCACATGAGGCGATGTGGCCCCCAACACATTATTATTATTATTATTATTATTATTATTATTATTGTTGTTGTTGTTGTTGTTGTTGTTGTTATTATTATTATTATTATTATTATTATTATTATTATTATTAGTAGTAGTAGTAGTAGCAGTAGTAGTAGTAGTAGTAGTAGTAGTAGTATTTGTATTATTAGGTTTCTAGATGCATTGTAATAAATACACAGATAAGAACAGTCCTGGAGGTTCAGCTGCATAAATAAGTTGTAGGAGTAAAAACAAACAGCTACAAAAAGCCCTGTTTGTACAAAGAGGGAGTCAAATATAGTCCATTAAAAATATTAATAAACTATGTAGGTCTTGGTCTCTATAATCTGACTCCAAAATGACTCAGATACATGTAATTAATGTGAGTCTAAATAAATATAGTAATTTGCAATGTAGTTTCCACAAAAAGTGGCTTTATTAAATTATTATTGACTGAATATTGACGTCCATCCCAAGTCTGTTTGTCTAACCATAAAAGTGACGTGCACGACTGAACTACAAGACTTATTTATAAAATTATGCTTTCACTTTCCAAAATCAAAATAATATAAAAAGTTTAAAAGCTCAGGTCTAATCAGATCTGTGGAATTATTGATCATTTAATATAAAATGTGCTTCTGAAACTTTATAAAACACTGAGTTATTCAAACATTTAGCTCAGTTTAGCGTTTTAAATGTGCTTTTGGACTTTAAACGGCCGCATTATGGATTTTATTTAGCACGTAGCTGTTTACCCTCCACAAAACATTTCTTAATATTTGAATTTTTTTAAAGTCTATGGGAAAAATGAATTGAAAATGTTCTTCCATATTTGGAGTGAACTTCCAGGTGGATGGGAGAGTTGAGCTCAATGGGAATTAAAGTGGGTGAAGAATTTCATGATAGTTTGGTCTCAGTTGGAGGATTTACCTGTTGTACGTGGGTTTGTGTTGGTCGTACTCTTCTGCAGATGCTGGGCCAGATGCTCCTGGTCCATCCTCTTCAGGAAGTCCAGGGTGATGTTCAGAACCTCTGTCCTCAGCTCCTCACCCTCAGAGCATTCTGGGTAATCTGAGGCCAGGAGCCTGTGGAGCCTCTGCAGCTGCTGTTGGACATAAACCAGGACCTGCTCCTCCAGAACCTGAAACACACAGTTTGGACTAAAGTATTGGCTCTGATCCAGGAAAGATGGAAGGTCCAGGTGAACTTTTTGAGCAATAAAACAGAACTGTGCTTTTCCTCTTATGATGCTCTGGACCAGCAAAGACTCAGCTCCTACAAAAGTGCATTTGAAACACGACTCCTTAACCTCGTGCTGCAGCTCGATTGTTTTGAGTTTTTCAAACTATTTTCTGACAGAAAATGTTCATTGTTTGTTGGTCATAAGGGTGAAAAAGGAAGACATCAAAAACATTTAAACATTTAACCAAAAAACAATGAAAAGTCCAAGAGTCTTGAATCTTGAGCAGTGGAGTTCCTCAGGGCTGTGTACTTTCCCCCTCACTCTTCTCCCTGTAGCACACACACTGCCCGTCAGCCTCCATGTGAACCTGAATACTACACTATACTGAAACCTTTTCTACCATGGACCTCTCCTGGACACATGAGGGCGTCTCACCTGTAAATAGTGATTTTATTTTGTAGTGTATGTAGAAACCAATGAGCTGATATACACTTCAGCAGCAGTGATCCTAAAGGTGCTGGGCTGTAAGAGCAACCATGGAAGCCATGAGATTCAATACTCACCATGGAAAAGACGGTTAGAGGCCAAAGTCAAGGAGACGAGGACAGAAGTGAGCCAACTGTCAGAGGCTCAGAAAGGTACAAAGAAAAAGCAAGTACCCAAGAAGGTACAGCCAGATGCCTGATCTGAAGCACTTGAAACTGGCAAACAAAGTCTCCAAGCCTTGGCCAGCCGCCTAAAGAGGTACACACGAGATAATGAGGCCAGCTGAATTAACCGGCTGTTCACAACACAACCGGTGAAAGTGTACGCTCAGTGGCAGGGTAATAACACCAGAGCAGACCCACCAAGGCTGGAGACTGAGAGGTACTGGAAAGGCACATGGGAGAGGGAGACATCACATAACACTGATGCACAGTGGCTGGTGGATCTGAGAGAAGACCACAGCAACCTCCCTGAACAGAATCCAGTCACCATCATAGTGGCAGACATCCAGGAAAGAGTCTGAAGTATGAAAAACTGGACCAGGCCCTGACATGATCCACACAGACTGGCTAAAGAAACTCACTGCTCCCACGAGCGCCTGGCAGCACAAATGAACCAGCGGACTCACCCTGAATGGCTAACTCAAGGGCGTACGATCCTGATCCTGAAGGATCCCTCAAAGGGTGCAGTCCCATCCAACTATCGGCCAATAACCTGTCTCTCCACAACATGGAAGCTCATGTCAGGCATCATCGCTGCTAAGATAAGTGGGCACATGGATCAATACATGAGCGCAGCACAGAAGGGCATCGCTAAAAACACCAGGGGAACCAAACTCTAATTACTGGTGAACAGTCGCCCGCGACTTCAGAACCCGTAAGACCAACCTGTGCACTGCCTGGATTGATTATAAGAAAGCCTCTGACTCAATGCCACACACATGGATCACTGAGTGCTTGGAGCTGTACAACATCAACAGGACTCTAAGGGCCTTCATTGCAAACTCGATGCAGTTGTGGAAAACCACCCTTGAAGCCAATGGGAAGCCACTTGCACAAATGTCCATCAAATGTGGCATATACCAAGGAGACTCACTGTCCCCACTGCTGTTCTGCATCTGAACACCCTCAGCCAAATCATCGACCGCACTGGCTACGGATACCGACTCAGAAACGGGGCCACCATCAGTCACCTCCTCTACATGGATGACATCAGCTGTACACTAAGAACGAGACATCGACTCACTGATCCACACCACCAGGATCTACAGCACAGACACCGGAATGTCATTCGGGCTTGAGAAATGTAGCAGGATGGTGACAAAGAGAGGGAAGGTAGAACACACAGAGGGGGTCTCACTCCCAGAAGGAACAATAGCAGACGTTGAGGACAGTTACAAGTACCTTGGTATCCCACAAGCAAATGGCTCCTCGAAGAGGCAGCTACAGCCAAATACCTGCAAAGAGTGAGACAAGTCCTAAGAAGCAGCTCAATGGAAGAACAAGGTGCAGGCAAAAAACAGCTACGTCCTGTCAGTGATCAGATCCCAGCAGGAATTATGCACTGGTCAAAGGAGGAGATACAGACCACAGATGTTAAGACACAAAAGCTCCTGATCATGTGGAGGGTTCATCCCAAACCCAGCACCCTGAGACTGTACGCAAGCCGGAAGGAAGGAGGCTGAGGACTAGTGAGTGTGGGAACCACTGTCCAGGATGAAACATCCAAGCTCCATGAGAACATCAAGGACAAGGCCCCGACAGATGAGGAGCTCAGAGAATGTCTCAGACAGTGGGGTCCAGAGGAAGAGGAGCTGGAGGGACCATCATGGCAGGACAAACCCCTACATGAACCACCGGAACAGAACTGAAGTGGCTGATATCAAGAAATCCTCCCAATGTCTTGAGAGGGTCTGAAGGCGACACAGAGGCTCATCCTGGCAGCTCAGGAGCAGACCCTGGGCACTCGAGTAATAGAGGTCCAGATCTACCACACCAGACCAGAGTCACGGTGTAGACTGTGCAAAGAGGCTCCTGAGACAATCCAGCACAGAACTGCAGTTGTACGATGCTGCAGGGAAACAAACATGGAGCTACAGAACCAAGTGGTGGTCATAGTGTACAGAAACATCTGTGCAGAGTACGAGCTGGAGATCCCAGGATCAAGGTGGAAAACACCTCCAAAGATTGTGGAGAACAACCGACCCAAGATCCTGTGGGACTTCAGATACAGACTGACAGGATGGTGATGAACCAACCAGACATAGTGGTGATGGAGAAGAAACAGAGCAGAGTCGTGGTGGTGGAACATCACAACACCAAGAGACGGAACATCAGGAGAAAAGAACACGAGAAACTAGAGAAATACTAGAAGCTCAAGGAGGAGCTGGAGAAGATCTGGAAGGTGAAGGCATCAATGGAGCCTGTGATGATCGGACACTCGAGGCTGTAACCCCCAAACTGGAAGAAACTACAACAGATACCAGGAAAAACAACAGAACATCTCAATCCATAAAAGTGCAGTACAGGAACAGCAAAGATACTGAAGAACTCTCAAACTCCCAGACTCTGGTAGAGGAGCCGAGCTGGATGAGGGAGAAACCAACCACCGTGGAAGGAGCACATTATTTATTACTTACAGTAAATACAGCATCCAGCTTCTCTCTGTTTAAATACCTCCCACTCCCCAGACGCTTCCCCCTCCCCTTTAAAGCACAGTCCAGGTACAGAGAGTCACATTATACAGTCTCGTCTCAGTCATGATCTGAGGAACAGGTTTTTACTTTTTGGTCGTTTGTAAATCAATTCCTGTTCTTCCTGTTGTTGAACATAATTAATTTTTTTTCTTCTTCTTCACACATTTCACATTGGACCATTTGAACTATTTCTGAACTGTTAAAACCTGCAAACAAAACTATCATCAAGGTCTAAAAACACAAAATGGATACCAACAATGTAAGGAAAAGAATTCAGCTTTTAATGACTCCTCACGTCCACTTTCCCTCAGTGAAACTAAAAGAAAACTGAAAAAGAACAAAAACATCAAACAGAATTTAAAAAAACAAGTTATTTAGAACTGATACAAGAATAAGTTTGGTGCTAAAAAACTCACAGAGAAGTGCAGAGTTTTGACGCAGTTTGACTTTGATTTCCTCCTGTTTAGTCCTGGTTCAGTCCTGGTTTAGTCCTGGTTGAGTTCTGGTGAGTTTATAGTTGTTGTTGTTGTGATAAAAACAGAAGTACAGAGTTTTGTCACACTTGGACTTCCTCGTGTTTCTTCAGTTCTTCCTCCGGCAGTTCCAGACTTTCCCCACACCAGCCTGAGCCCAAACACGGACGCTCACACTTTTTACTCACGTTTACATTTTGAGATTTTTGTTTGACACTTTTTCTGAGCACAAAGTTTAATCAGAGGTTTTGTGTCACTCAGAAAAGTGACTGATTTAGACCTGGTTTAGTCCTGAGTTCAGTCCTGGTTTAGTTCTGGTTTAGTCCTGGTGTAGTTCAGTCCTGGTTTAGTCCTAGTCTAGTTCTGGTTTAGTCCTGGTTTAGACCTGGTTTAGTCCCTTCGTCAGCACCAATCTGATTGGCTGTGGTGAATGTGGGCGGGGTTTAAAGAGCTCTTCACATGTGATGGTCTCTGGAGCGGCCGGTCTCCTGGACGCCGTCTCCATATGTCTGACCTCATGTTCCTGGTTGACCTCTGAGGCTCCGCCCTCTGTGATGTAGAGCTCTGTGTAGATCTGGGTCAGGGGGGTGGAGTCTCCTGCTTTAGCCACGCCCTCAAACACACGACTGAATCTTCTGCTGCAGATGCCTCTTCAGTTTCTCACAGTGAACTCCAACTTCAGTCCCTGAGGAAGACAACAGAGGCCCTCAGTGAACTCACAATCTCCAAATGACACAGACAATGACTCCCCCACAGCAGGTGACAGTGACAGATCAGATCTGCTGCCTGGACACAGTCTCCTCCTGATCTCAAACCAGCCCAAAGGGCTGCAGCTTAACAACAGTCAGAGTTCTTACTGTTCTTCAGACGCTGGGCCAGATGCTCCTGGTCCATCCTCTTCAGGAAGTCCAGGGTGATGTTCAGAACCTCTGTGCTCAGCTCCTCACCCTCAGAGCATTCTGGGTAATCTGAGGCCAGGAGCCTGTGGAGCCTCTGCAGCTGCTGTTGGACATAAACCAGGACCTGCTCCTCCAGAACCTGAAACACACAGTTTGGACTAAAGTATTGGCTCTGATCCAGGAAAGATGGAAGGTCCAGGTGAACTTTTTGAGCAATAA